GCCTGGAAGATAAAAGGGAAAACAAATAGGAGCAATATCCATGTGCAATATACAGCTTTATCACAATGAGGAGGTGGATTAGCATCCAAAAGACAGGTACTTTAAGAATCCATACATCTTTGGGGCAAGCAATGTAGCAGGACAAAAAGGTTCTGGAACAAATTATAAATCAACATATAAACATCTGAAAGATAATGTGATGAAATATAACCAACAACATTCCTTCTAAGGAGTAGCGGTCCATGAGTGCGCTGCCTCAGTCCGGCATGGGACACTTACTGAAGGGGGCTGAGGGCTGGGGCCTGGGGCCAGAGGCTGGAGCTGAGAGGCCGGGGGTTGGAGGCTGGAGCCGAGAAGCTGGGCGCCAGAGGCTGGAGCTGGGGGCTGGAGATTGGGGCTGAGAGGCTGGGTGCCAGAGGCTGGAGCCAAGAGGCTGGGGCTGGGGGCTGGAGCACTTTCCCCACATCTGGGGGGCTGCCAGCCCCTCGCACCAGCCTCCATCCCTGCCTTGCCACTCCTCACAGAGCAGCCACTTCCTGCCCCAAGTGAGGCTCTGCTGGCTCGAGGACACTGCTCCGCTGCCCTGCATTTCCTCAGGGAGTGAGGAGGCACATGGCACAGGGCAGGGAACAGAGGAGTGTCCTGGAGCCGGCTAAGCCTCACTTGGGGCAGGCAGCGGCTACTCCCCAAGATGTAGCAAGGCAGGGATAGAGGCTGGGGTGGGGGGCTGGCGCAGGCTCCACCAGCTCTGGGGAAGTGCTCCACTCCCCAGCCCTGATGCCACGTGCCTCCTTGCTCCCCAAGGTGAAGCAGGGGAGTGAAGCACTTCCCCAGAGCCAGTGGAGCCTGCATCAGGCTCCTGCCCCCACCTCACCTAGGAGCTTATGTTCAGCTCCTCTCCCGGTGCACAGCCTTGAAAAGGCTGTGCGCAGCCAGACTTTTAGTTGTGCACAGCCACACAAGCATGCACCTTAGAGGGAATCTTGATAGCTAACATAGATTTGTCTGAACAAATCCTGCAAAGCCATCTGACTGACTTCTTTGACCTGGTAACTATGATGCAGGACAAAAAGGAAGTAGACTCGACTTTAATAAGACTTTTTAGTAATCTTGACTTCAGTAAGACTTTTGATACTGTCCCAAATATTCCCATCAGTAAACTATGGCCCAAATGAAATCACCATCAGGCAAGGACACAACCAATTAAAAAGCCACAAACATAAAAAGTATTTATCAATCATTTGCTGTCCATCTGGAAATTTATTACAAGTGACATCCTACAGAGGGCTGTCCTTGGCCAGGTTTTGCTCAACTCTTTCCATAATGACTTGACTGATGCAAATAGAGTACAATTATACGAGTTATTTGTAAGACCAGACTGGGAGGGTTCGAAAGCACTTTGGCTAACAGGATCAAATTCAAGATGATCTTGGTAAAGTGGAGAAATTATCTGAAATAAAATTAAATTCAATAAGGGCAAGCGCCAAGAACCTTTCAGAAAGAGAAATTAAATATACAATATCAACTATGGAATAACTGATATGGTTGTAGAACTGCTCAAAAGAATTAGGGGTTATTGTAGATCATACAATACTACAACAAGAGTCTGTAATATGATGCTGTTGCAAAGATGTCAAATTTATTCTAGGATGTATTAACAGGAGCATTGTTTGTAAGACAAGAAAGGTAATTTTTCTGCTTTACTCAGCACTGATATGACCTCCCTTGGGGTATTATGTCCTGCCATCACATTTCAAGGAAGATGGGGACAGTTTGGAGAAAATATATGGAGAGTTCAGACAAGAGCAACAAGAATTGAGAAGATGTTGGAAAAACCTGACATATAAGGAAAGATAGAAAAATTTGTAGAAGGGAGGCTTAAAGGGAATGTGGTAATAGTCTTTCAATATTCATGAAGTTGCTGAAAGAAGAGCAGTGATCATTTATTTTTTTATGTCAATTAGACATGGGGCAGGAAACAAATCAGTATAATTAACAACAAAATGATTTAGGCAATGGAGGCTGGAAAAGGCTATGTAGGAAGGGTGTGAAATCTCTTTCACAACAAGTTTTTAAAAGCAGGTTAGACAACTATTTGTCAATAGTCTAGGTATACAGATTCTGTGTCAGGGTAAAGGATTGGACAAGATTAGGTTCATTCTAGCCCTATGATCCTATGATAGTGGATAGACTTTTGGTCTTAATCTCTTACTACTTTGTATTTATGTTAGCCACATGTTAACCAGGTGCTTTGGTAGATCAGGGCTTCAGAATCCAACTGTAAGTTCTTACTTACTTTTTATATTTATACTTTGTTTAAGCACATAGAATTATAGAATCATAGAGTCAGAAGGGACCTAGACAGATCATTGAGTCCGACCCCCTGCCATGCGCAGAAATGAGCACTGGGGGTGGGAGGGGTCATAAGACCCCAGCCAGGTGCCTATCCAGTCTCCTCTTGAAGATTTCCAGGGAAAGCGAGAGCACCACCTCTCTGGGAAGCCTATTCCAGGCTCTGGCCACCCTTACAGTGAAGTAGTTCTTCCTAATATCTAACCTAAACCTATCCTCC